AGCTCCTCAAACTACATTTTTTGTTCCAAGGCGTACTCTGAGGATGAAGAAAAAGATTATTATTTCATTACTCCCCAAATTGAACCCGATGAGATATAGCTAGGGATCCTTTAGAATCTTCAGATACTCCACACGAGAAAAACAACCTGAATTTTTTAGGATGCAAAAATCCTGCTGTAATAGAGTCTGACAGACAGGATGGTTATTGCTATTCATGCACACTCTGTGACATAATTTAGAGGTATAATGAAGATAATGAAGAGGCAGATATATTACCAATTACTGTGTCGTCTGGTCCCAAGATTGCTGCTTTATTTGTATGCACATTGTTTCGATTTAGGTTGTGTTTTTTTTTTGTTCTCAAACAAGTCGAGCAGAATCAAATTGGTCTAATATCCTAAATAGCGAACCACGGCAATGCACTCTGTTAATTAAATCTGTCATTCAAAAGTTTGGGGGCTCTATGTAGCTGGGAAATGTTGGAATACACAGCACTTTATTGTACGTTACATAGAACCACATGGACAAATTACTTAGAAACAAAACATGCACCGACGAGCGAAAGGCAGCTGTGACATTAATTATCTGCATTCAGTAGGTCAACAGAATCAAGCAACGTAGAGAAATGACTAAAAGATCAGTGTACGGTGCGTATGAATTTGCGATTTTGTCAGTGCAATCAGTGCTGAAATGACAACTGTGCTGCGTATTATTCCACACTTCCTATGAAAATAGCACTTGAAAGTGTGAGGGGGGCCAAGGTGTCAGGGAGAGTACCACTCTCATGTCTGAACATGCCAAAGGCTACAATTTGTCCTGCTCCACAAAGTGGATCTTTGTTGTGCCAGAACAGTTCGTAATTAATCTCTAGTGTACTAACAAGAAGAGGCCAACGACTCCAAACAGGCTCTGTAACACCCCTGCAGATGGTCAAAGCCAAAAGGTATGAACTGGCTTCACACTCTCTTCATTTCGTGTTAGCTTTCACCGAGGGAGACCACTGGTTTCATTTACCAATACTCCCGGTTTAAATCCCCAAACACCTTGTACTGAAATCATTACTCCTCACTCTCGCCTCACTTTGCTGCAGCTATAATAAACAATGAATTATGAGAATGGACTCTTCGGGCCTGTTTAGACAGGGGAATGGAAAAAGGCTGTAAACAAATACCCCGTGGGCCAAAATGAATGCCATCATAACACAAGTGCACACTTTAGTTATGAGCAGAACCAGAATATTCATCCTCTTTGCCACACTGCTGAGGAGCTGCACTGATCAAATTATCAAGTGCAGGGGTGCCATCGGGGGGGTGCAGCAGCACTTCTGGGCTCCCTGAAAACAGCTTACCAGCAGCTATAGAGCCTGGCATGTTATGAGGAAGGTCTGGGCCCACTGAAATCACCCCCACACATTCCTCCTGCCTTTGCTCATTCATTTCAACATAAATGCAATCTAAAACTAGTGCACCGGGAAGGCTGTGGAGTGGCTCACACTGCTCCTTAAATCTCAGCAAGTGTGCATGTCACCCTCACTGACATGCATCAGGAAAGTTGGGACTTTGTTAAGACTGCAAAACTTGGCTTTATTTGACTCAAGCCTCTTATTTCTCCATCCACCATGTGTGAGTTTTGAATGTTCACTATTCTCACATATCCCGGGGCACTCAGGCTTCTTCTGTTAGTGCTGCTGCAAATCATTTCTACAGTGTCGATGTTAAAAGACTGTTCTGCTGTCATGTGCCAGCATCACATCACTCCAGATTTGGGTTTAAGGCAATAATGTGACTGGAGGAGAGGGAGAAAAAAAAATTGTTTACTTACCAAATTCAGCACCGTTTCAACAATATCCCGGTTGCTAACCTCTCCAACCTGGATCAGTCCGATCAGAACAGCAAATTTCATCTTGATATTCCGGATGGGAACCGACGGGTTGATAATCCCAGCCGGGAGGACCACTGAACCTGAGCCGGACATCATCCTCGTCTCACCGGCGGCAGCGGACACTGCAGCCGCGTGTTGCCCGTGACCTGGAGGAGGTTGTCGGTCCGAGAGCGACAGCGAGCCCGGCATTGTCACCGGTCTCTCGCTTGTCATTTCCCCCCAGGAGCTTCCTGTTGTGTGTGTTTTTCTCTCCCTCTCTCTCTCTCTCTCTCTCTCTCTCTCTCTCTCTCTGTAATATTTTTAACCACTGCTCTGGAGCATTAAGAGAAATAATGATGATAATAATAAACACTCGAGAAGCCTGGGAAAAACATAAACAAAAACAGAAAAACACTCTCTGTCAGTAAAAAATCCACTCCGAGGAGTTCCAGTGAGTGAGTCCGGCGTGTTGTCGCTGGCAGCCGGTTAACCGCGCTGACTGACCCGCGCTGCGTTCACGGGGCTGTGTGGATGTGTGTGCGCCGCTCTCCTGGATGCGCGGCTCCGTGTCGGTGCTGCTGCTGCTGCTGCTGCTGTCACCGCCATGTTGCCGCCCCCTGCCTGCGGTCCCGCTCACCACGCCTGCGCTAACGGAGCTCCGAGACAGACCGCTTCGCCGTGTAGGCGAGAAACGTGGTCGTGTAAGTAACCATTTCTGAAGGGTTAAAAAATAAAAAGTAAAAAAATGCATCATGCATTTATGAAAGTGCCTCCCTTGGTCAGTGAGTGAAACCAAGTGGGTTTTAACGAAACCGCTGCGCAAAAACTTAGCTTCCCCAAGTTACCTGGTTTAAATTTTCTCCTACCAAACCTGAAAATTAAAAAAAAACAAAAAAACAATTGGAATAAAAGTAATAGAAAACAATTTTATAAAGTAAAAATAAATAACTGAATAAATAATCTTTACAGACAGCAAAATAAATGTTCACGTGCAACTTGAACCCAGAAAAACACAGGTGTGTCCGATGACGTCACTAATTAGGTCCATGCAGGTGTTCCAGTAGTTGCCGGCCACACCCGAACTGTGGCACGATCCATAATTTGGTGCTTAACCCTATTCCGGACTTTCGAGGTCTTTTGGACCCCAGGCCATTTGGTTTAGGTGACAGGTATTGTTTTTATTTTTGAAGATTTTTTTTTTATTATATATATATAAAGAGGGACATTTGTCATGTATTTGGAACCAAAACTACTTATCGGGAAATTTATTTAACACAGTATAAAAGTCTATAATGAATACCAACAAATATTTTGCACATTCTATGTTTGGCAACATGAAAGCCCTGAATAGGGTTAATCAATATGAAACCTACGTTTTAATGGTAAATTGCATTGATTTTTAGTTTCATTGAAAGGTTCTCAAAGTTTAAGCATCCATTGTGCAGGTACACATGTGCAGACCATTACTGCAGTTTGTTTTTCTCCTCAGATGCACTTGCTGTTGTGCCAGTACAGTTCATTGATCAGCCTACGAGGCACAGCGGTGACCCTGGATAGTCGTCTATGCAAGGCTATGCAACAGCCATTAAAGTTTAGCACCAAGTTTTGTTTAGTTTTTTTTCATCACAGTTTTCTTGGTGAGTTGATCTTACAGTCACATTTAACTTTCAATTTTGATTTCCCCAGTATCTTATGTGGAATTTTTGACGTTGCTCAGAGTCTAATAGCAAAAAAAAAAAGTAATAGAGTGACCCCAATAGCAGGAAATATAGATAGAGTCATCTATACGAATACATTCTGGAGCAATTTCAACTTATTTCAGAGCGTAAACATCATCTGAAAAACATCAAGTTCTCGTCGTTACATAAAAGAGACCAACGCTGACAGCTTGGCAACATTTCTGTCCGTCGGCCTGACTGACAGCCAGAAGCTGAGCTTGCATTTCATGACCTCCTTAAGCTGATCTGTGTCAGTGTGGCTTCAAAAGAGGAAGAAATAATGTAGGGCTTTCTACATCTGCACCTATCAAGTCTACTAATGTACAGTTTTGAAGCTTGATTAAAGCAATGCAAAAAAAATAATTGACGTTCTGGCTATTTAGCCTGCTCACCAATGCACTGAATATAACTTTATCAAGTGATGTTTGTTGTTTGCAACCAACTGTAGTCTTATGTGCTACAGTAAATGTTTTAATAGAAAGCTACACTATTAGATTGTAAAGAGCATGGCAAAGTAGTTAATAGACTGTGTCCAATTAAGCTTAACAGAATTAGTCCTTCCATGTTTTAATTTGTCGTGCCAAGATAATGTATCTGATGATGCCCTTTTAACATCAATAGGAAATCACTATCAAGAAGTCACTCACTTCTATCCTCCCATCCTTCAAGGTTACTGGTCCTCATTCCACTCACAACCATAAACAGAGCCGAGTAGAGGTCAGTGGAGGAGATTTCACTTTGCCTTTCACACACTAAAAGAAGGAATCAGAAGATCCAGACTCAATGATCACATTTACAGGTTTGTCAATTTTCATGTAATGATTATTTCAAGTTCTGTCACAGCAGAATCTCTCTGTGTTAGATGTAGAAATGAGTCCTTTACACACTTTAATCTTGCTTGAACTCCCACAACATCTAATTGTATCTTACTCAAGATTTGAATGGATCTGGATGTGGCAGCTCTCAATACAGAAGTGTTACTCCATTATCACTGTCATGCACACTTCCAAATCAGACATCTACCTGTTAAAAAATACAGAAAATACCTGTGACAAACAGGAGCATAATTGCAATATGTTCAATAAAATGCCACAGTAATGATTATTCTGCTGATCACAAAGAGCCATCTAGTGGTCAAAACACCAATCAAGCTGATTTATTTACTCAGTCCATCCCAGTTTTCACTTTCAATTTCTGAGCAATAGTCAGAGACAATGATTTATTCTTTAACATTCTGAATCACTGTTATGTTTGCAGTAAAATGAGACTGAAGTTGACATAAGCTGTCCTCCCTTATGGACTCCTTACAGTCACGTGTTTCTTTCAAATAGCCAGCAGAGGTCCCTCTCATCCCAGATCAGAGAGAAGTGAGTTTCCTCTCAGTGATGTGGCTGCAAAGTTAAGAGTCAGCACGTACAAACATTTTACAATTTTGATAGTTTTATTTTTAAAAAAATGATGTTCTGGTACCTGACTGCACAATCCAGTACCCTAAAGCAGGTATGATCGAGTCAAACCTTAAGTCATTCTTTTCACAACCACTGGAGGTCAAAGTTTAATAAAATTACACCCATTCCAAAATGGCAATACTGAAGCAAAGTAAAACCAGCTTACAATTTTGTACCACGTGTATTACAGGAAGGTTGACACAGTTAAAGATTCAATATATAGCGAATTAACATATGTACTATTTACCCCTTCACATATGTACAATATATACATGTCGTTTGCATTTACATGATATTCACACACATATATACAGACACTTGAGTGTACATCATAATAATTATAGCTTTAAATCTGACATGAATAACATATACATGCTTCCCGGAAGCATTTAAGAGCTTGAATGTCCTAGACATTGTAGATTATAGTAACAATAACACAATAATATTATTAAAGATAATAATTATCATAACATACAGGTTTAGCAACATAACGGTAAATAAAATCCTAACGTCAAGAACATTGGCAGGATGATTAATTTCCCATTGAATAATTATGCTCAGCACCTATAAGATGTCCTCTTTATTATTGTGCAAGTACAGAGGAGCTTAACATTACTCTCAGAGCATTTGTACTCAGAAATACAAACAATAAACTGTGCTTTAGTTCTGGGGTCCTGTCTGTGCTTTTGTGTCTGCCTGTTAGCAATGACTCAAAGGCTCAATCTTGATCTCAAGGCTGAGCAGACACAAATGGCGAAGAATTTCAGATTTTGGTCTCGGGGCCATCTGTGATTAGCGGCTGAAAGGAGTTGCGGATCCGGGCAGCTTCTGCAGCACAAAGGTGACCAAAGGCTTTGTTGTACCAGTCTGGAGTCCTTCCCCTGCAAATCCAAACAGTATATTTAGTACACTTTAGCATATGTATAAAAAGCTTAATCACCTTAGAAAAACAACTAAAATCATGCAAAAATGTATTGGTTTGCAAAATAAATAACTTTTTAGCACTGACTAAAAGAGTGAACGAGAAAATATCCGGTTTCTTGTGGGACTTACTTCATGTCCACTCTGCAGATGTGAGTCAGTCTGGACTTTCCTGAGCCACAGGGCTCCAACAGGTAGTTGGACTCCAGGACTATAGCTCGTACCCCTCCTATAGGAGAACAATCTTCATGCTCTATAGACACAGACACCAGGGAGCAGGCGCCTTTTGGCAAGTCTGTCCTCCATGACCTTGGATAAACAGAAAGAGATTGAGTATTTATTCCAAAATAAATTTAATTATGGCTCATTAAAAAACAAAAAAATGACATGTTGTCTAGTGTTTTCATTTTTATCACCACTCACCTGAGAACCACAAAGTCCCTGCTGGCATGAGGGGGCATGCGATTGAGGACATACTGAAACACTTCTGTCTGCTTGTCCAGTGTCTCACACACTTTCCACTGAAGCAGGTCCATGTCCCACAGGTGGCGCTCTCGCAGCACCCGGTTCAACACTACAGATGGTGGTGCTTCCACCTCCACAGACACTCTCCAACGTCTCAAAGGGTTCCCATCTCCCACCTGGATAGCATACAAAGAAACAGACCATCATTCTCAGTTGTGTGTCTAACAGTCATTTAAGATCCATGCTTGAGGTACAAAAGGAAAAGGCCCTTATTGAGCACTGCATTTTGTTATTTGTTGTGCTGATGAGCTGTTGTAAGGTTCAAGATAGAACACTAACCTTCTTATAGTAGAGTTCTGTGTTGTCAGAGCTGCTGCATGACACCCAGTATTTGGACTTTTCCCGGGCCTCTTTGAGCAGGTTCTGAAGTCTCCCCTCCATATGTGTTTGGTATGTTCCATCATCATCTTCCAGCTGCTTGCACAGCTCGTCAATTGTCGGTGCATGCAAGTCAGCTTCCACGTACGAATTACGCGACTGAGTAACCATCTCATGAGGGATCTAATGGGTGTAAGAAAAAAACAAAAACATGAGGTAAGACTCACAGCAAATATAAACGGAGCGGTTATTGCATCCAGGCCTGAAATTTCGGCTACAAATCAATTACAGGTTCTTGTACCTCAAAGAGACGATTGCACTCCATGATCATATGAGCAAGGCCCTGTGTTGCTGCTAAGTTTTCATTCAGATCCTTCTGGTCTGGTCTGCCTGTGGCATATTTCTTCTGCATGGCCCTGGAGATTATGGTGAGAGAAAAATTATTAGGCCAGCAGAGTCTTCAGGTCACCGTCCCCGAAAAACACAGTACATAAACCCTTCTTCCGCACTGCAGGGAACGCCTTTGATCCCTTTAGCAACAATTTCAGCATGCTAAATTAGAGAGTTTGCTTTGTTTGTACACAGCATGGTCTCATAAAACATTAAGCTTTAAAAAGAGTGTCATGGCCTTTTAAAACTGGCCCAGAAAGAGAGTAATCTACTACACCCCCAGGGCTGAGCTAACTCTGTAACCCATTTTATGCCCGCCTTTATGGAGTCATAGGTGAAGATAATCACGGCAGAGTTAATAGAATGCATGCATGTCTTGTTCATTATTGGGGGCAGAGTTGCAGGCAGCAAGGCTGGCCCAAAATCACAGACACCAAGTTAATTGTCACACAAGAAAAAAAGAAAAAAAACTACCTTGGTGAGAGATTGTCTTTTTTCAGTATGTTGAGGTGGAAGAGGGAGGGGGCCAGGCACACAGCAATGTTCATGGGTGTCATCTGGTTCTCCTCCACAGACGAAGTGACGTCACTGAGGAAACAGAGAAGTGTCTGCAGCACCTCTCGGTTTTCATCTGACATCAGCATGATGGCCGCCTGTACGGCTTGCAACCTTTGGTCCTTGGGCACATCTGCACATGTGAAAGAAAGTATTTTTATCATTTCTGCTTTACAGACATAATAATAAAAGAGAGAAAAGCACTCATGACCTGTTACCCTGTTAGTTCAGGCGCAGTTTCACAATGTTTTCCAAATGTGAAAAAAAAAATAAAAACGAGACATTAAAATTAAAACAACAAGCAAAGAGAGATTTATGTGCTTACACTGGTAGATGTGGAGGAAGGTCTCCCCCAGCTTGCTGGTGAGCAGAGGTTCGGGTAAATCTCTGAAGAACTGCTTCACCATGTCGGCCACATCATAAGCAGACTGATCCTCATAGTTTACATTGTCTGGAGAGTTTTCATTCATCTGCCTCAGAGCTTGGATTCGAGATTTCACTCCTGATTTACGAAAAAGACCCACCTGGAAGCAAAAAAAAAAAAAAACGAGTTTTAATGTTGACAGCTGACAGCAACTTCTAATCCCACTGTACAGCAGTTCCGCTATAGACTGTCAGCAGAACTGATAAAACCTATGCACTGAAATCTTACACCACACCACATTACACATGCAGCCTGAGAGGATGTCTGCTGTTACTGACCTGGTCAAGACACTGGCTCCTCAGGTACCGCAGGGCCTGCTGCAGGCCGAGGGGCAGGGGTTGTCCCGAACGCTGCACATGAACAATGAGAGGAACTCCGAACACATTCTTGTCCTTATAATCTGGTACCTTCATTCTCTTCATAAACTTTGGTACAGACCTGGGAGACACATCAACAAAACATCCTTTAAAATTCTGCTCTACTGGCTAAACAAGAACTAAACATGCAGCATTTAGACATTTCCTTAACATGAAATAGTATTAAAGAAATGTGGTTGCAGGTATTCATGAAGACACACAAATTAGCAATAGTAATTTGGGCAAATACAGATTATTAGTTCACAGGAATTTGATAAAATGTACTGTTTAATTATGAATTACATCAAAAGTGGACTTTCAGATCAGACTTACCAAGTCCAGCCATGCTTGTTGGACATGGAGTATTTCTCCATGATTGCAGTAAGACGCAGCAGAGAAAACTTCTGTAACAAACTCAGCTGGCCTGCCGACTGGTTTGTAATCTGCAGGGAAGCCACTGAGTGACTTAGGCGATTAGATATCTGAAAGCTTGGCCATCGTAACCTAATGCCAGAAAAGATAAAATTATTATTATAATAAAATATTAAAAAAAACATTTTAGTTGTTTTTGTTAATAGAAAACAAATGAGTGCATTTTCCAAGTACTCAAGTACAGTTACACGAGTCGCACCTGTTAGGTCGTGTGAGCGAGGCGCCCACTCCTGAGTCCCTCCTTTCCCTGAGCCTCGTAGATTCTGTCTCAGCAAGCGATACTTTGTCTCTGTCCCCGTCACTGCGTGTGGTCTGGCTTTCTGTGACAGAATTCCCCTCAAAGTCCAATGTGATCTGACTAGAGGACTGGAGGCCCACTTTATCTTCCCTCTCCCTGTCCACCTGCACTTCTCCTCCCGGCAACACATTTTTTGACCAGTGGTCCACTATCTGCTGCAGACCATTGACGTGAAGCAAGATATCATCCAGGTGCGGAAACAGGTCCTCTTTCTCCAGGTCTATCAGGTCTCCGGTGCTGGCATACAGATGTGAGCCAGGAACATTATCATACACGCTGATGCGGCTGCCTCTGGAGCAGCACTGGGTGACAGGCCTGCTTTCCTTTCTGCAAGGAATTAGTGGGGCGTCCAGGTGCATGCTGCCGGTGTGCCAGTTAATAGAGGCCCCATTGGTTGGAGATAGGCTCTCTATGGACAGTGCTTTGGGGAAAGTCCCTGGCTTGTGGTCTTTAGGAATGTGGACCACCAGGTCTTCATAGGAGCAGAATTCATTTCTGCGGTTTTGTTCGGCAACCTTATTCTCTTGGGTGTCTGAGAAGATGTCTATGTCCTCCAAATACATGCCGCTACGCTTGTAGTCAGCTCTGTGAGCCTTACGCTCTTTCAGACTGGGTGTGCTGACAGTGCTGCCGCTGGAATGGCTGCTACCTTCACTACCGGACTGGGACGGCGGAGCTTTGCTGGACGGTTGTTCTGGAGCCCTACCATCTCCGTTTATGATCTCGACACACCGCATCGTCTTCAGCGCCCGCGCTTCCTGCTGCAGCACCGGAGAGCTGATGACCAACGCCTTGCGGCCCCTTCCCAGAGTTCGTCGGGAGCTCAGTGTCTCCATTCGCTTCAGGAAGTCTTTGGCACGGGTGCGGCCTGTCTTGCCGTGTTTGTCAGGCAGTGAGCCATAGTGAGCAAATTCTTTGGGGATGTGAGGCATTGTGAGAGAAGTAGAGTCTGGCATTGCTGCAGAATCTGTGCGGTTGGAGCAGTCGGAGTCCTCTGTGCTGAGGCCCCTATGACCGCTGCCTCCGCTGCTCTCACTGTGCAAAGAGGAGACCTCTGGCTCACTGAGGTCCGTCAGGACACTCTCGCTGCTGGTGGTGGTTCTCAGAGGCACGCCGTCCCTGGAGGTCTGACCCTCTCCGTGGTTTCCCAGCAGACAGTCAATGTCCTGTAACCTGGACCAACGCCGGCTGCTCCACTCAAAGGTCCATTTGTCACTGATGGCAAACAGGTCTTCTTCATCAGAGTCTTCACTCTGGGGAGAGATGGCGTATGTTATCACTGTGGCTTACATAATTCAGTCTATGAATATGAATGTTTCTATTTACCTCTTTTAAAACCGTGTTCATAACTATCCATAATAATGTTAAATAAATTAAAGAGCTCATACATACAGTGATTGTGAGCATGAATAGTATTGAAATGGAATTATTGAGATTGACAAAACACAAACCTTTGTGTACTTCATTAAATACCCATTGCATATTTTCCCTCTTTTTATTATTGGTAGAAAAAATATTCATAGCATCAGCTGGCTTGCAAGGTAAACATGGCTCAGAACTAATAACATTATGCAATCAGCCAACCGTGATATAACCCTAAATTATTCCTTTGAGTTAAAGACTTTTCCATAAATAGATCAAGGCAGGAAAATCATTAATATGTATCAGCAGGCAGTATTATAATATGGGAACAAAAAAGTAATAATAGGCATTGATGTAACAATGGTACCATCTAAAATATCACTGAATGTGGGTTAGGAAGACAAAACCAGACTATGTGTGTGTTGCTGCAGGAAGCACATGCATAACTTAAGGCAATTTGTAAGACAACACCCTTTCTTACAAGGACACTGACTTTTGTCTTCAGTTTTGTAACAATTTCTAATGACCATTGTGATATTTGAGTCAAGGCCAAACCTTAAGAGGTACCATACTGCGTGTATTATTTCAAAATATTACGTGCACGCAGAAAGAAAACCACACGCTTAAGGCTACGCTCTTGGCTGGGAGAAAACAATACCCAATGTGTCGTCGGTGTTTTAAAAATATATATTTTCAAAGTGGGAAGACTGCGTTTTCCCAGAATACATATCGTGTTGCATCATACTTGTCATAGCGCTGCATTTTTCATTCAGTTATCAACCTCGAAAGTGAAAGACTCAACACTTACTTTCTTCTTTGGAAGATTCACGTCAAGTTTCATAGAAGCACACTTGTTCAAAGTGTTGAGTCGCCTGAAAGAAAAATGGCCAAAGGATGAAAACACCACAATAGTCTCCTAATGAGCATACTAGAAATAGACCCCCTTCTGTTTGCTATTTAAGTGTTAATCTGATCAGCTTCTGTTCTGGATGCACAACCAGACCCAGAGGGAAAGCCAGTCTGTCCGCATCATAATAGCCTAAACCTAATGAACGCCGGTAATTGTCAGTTGCTCTGTTCTCTTCCTCTCAGGGTTGGATATAAGTGATTGTGGCTTGAAGGGTTGTGTGTGGTAGTCTGAAGAAAGGTGAATTTAAGGTCAGCCACGTGCAATCACAGCCTTACTCGTTAAAAACTGTCATCTGTAGAAGTCAATGTCCAGTTAATGAAGCAGTGTTTGATGCCATCTACGCACTTGACATGCTGATTGTGCTCACGTGTGATTTGGAGAGGCCATCATTTCAAAAACTTACAGATCATGTCAGTATTCTTCCATTTTTTTCCAACAAAGTCACATGAAAGTGATGCTTTTGACATACTAATACAGTCAGCTTTAAAAAACTCTCTCAGAGAAAGAGTGGAACTGTTCCAGTATCTATAATTAACAATACAGAGTCATTCTTTGAGCGTGTGCTTAGCGATTAGAGTTTACTAGAGTTTGTGGGTGTGCAGCAGCAGCAGCTCTAAAAAACTGTACATGAACCAACAATAGCATGGGGAAAAGATGACGGCATAAGAAAATACACTGCAGCTCAACTGAGTGTTGGCTTCAGACGAAAAGAAGCGAATTTGCGGGAAGATAATTACAAGCTTTAACAGCTCCAGATTGCTAACGGTCTTTTTTTAACTGATTGACAGTATTGTTCTGTGTCAGTAAATGACCTCGGCTGGAGGCTCTAACTTTACTCCAGTGCTGTAGATCATAGGGGTTAGTCAAACAAGACGTTCCCATGATTGTAACTGTAGATAGCGGTACACAACTGAAGAGAGGATTTCTAAGCTGGGGGGCCCTTTTATTCCACAGGCCGAAAGAGCTTTGAATGTGGTTTCTAAAATAGGAGGCTGCTTAGGCAGGGATCAGAGGGAGCGCTCACATGTATGAAATATCTATCAGTTTCACTTCTATCAAAGACACCCACAGAATGTTGGGTGGTATTTATTTTTGCACGTAAGTCTGCGGCGGTGTAACTGATTATAAAGCCATCCTTATGTTACCATAGAGATGCCGGGAAGTCACGGACAAAATCACATTGGAGGTGGAACTGTTTCCAATTGTCTTCTATTTATCCCGTGGCTAGTTTGGAATTTAGATGAGTTGCTTTAAGGTTGTTTAGAGTCACAGTATATTGAGCTGTGCGAGGCTCCCCTCATGCTCCTCCTGCCTCCCTCTCGGAATGGTTGCCATAGTGACTGTGGTAGCTGAAGAGCTGTTTTCATCTTGGCTTGAAGAAGTACATGAGCTGTTTTGCCCTACAAGGGTGTGATGTGGAACCACCAGTTGTTGGCTTAATGTACTTTTATATTCTTTATACTCAAATTAGGAAAAAAAAACAGGCATATCCAACATTCCTCATGCTGTTATGTCAGAGGAAGGGAAGAAGAATCTTGTTTAATATATCTCAACATGGGTTCATTTCAGTGCCCTCAGATAGGACTGGTCTGTTGAAGATCTGTATTGATTTAATAAATGTTATTTCTGCAGTGTTATGTAATGTAGGAGTGTGTGAAAAATTGTCTTTTACTCATGAGATTCTTTACAAAATGCACATTACGCTTTCAACATCATGAGATGGGATTTTACTTCTCACAAAGGTCCACGTGATTTAGGGAAGGAAAGTGATGTGGAACTAACTTTATTGACTCATGGATGAGCCACTATCTTTTCAGTGTCAAACATCTGTTTACCTGCACAGAGGTTCCACGAGATCTTTGTCCAGAAAGTCATGATCTCTTTTCACAGGGGTAATGTCAATGGGGAACTGGGAATCTGCAGGAAAAACGCATAAAAACAAGAGAGAGTGGCAGCGTTGAGATTCCACTTGATATTTCAACAGTCGGGATAAATGGAAAGAAAGATGTGGAAACCACATTCTTTCCAAGAAGTACATTGAAGGCCGGGCGACCATCAAACTTGTTTTGTATGTGATGCTAATGAGAACAGGCAGAATTTGCCCAAATAACAGCGCTCGGGCTTGTGTGGGTATTACGTCTTGCTCTGGGTATGGGCTTCCTCTTACATAACTCAAGAGACTGAATCTAACATTCCACTGCATTCATGTGAAGCTGTTAACTTCTTATAAAAAGCAGAAGCGGCAGCGAGCACTCAGACCTCAACAAGGCTCGGTCTGTTCTTTCATTAATATCATTTTAAACATGCAGCCGCGGCATCAGAATGAAGCTCTTTGCACTCCAGCAGCATTATCAGTGCACATTTTCTGGAGTTTTCTTGCTATCTACAAACTGTCAGGAAACAAATATATTGCACCAAAGCACATCAAAAGTCTGGCCCAACCACACAAAAGAACTGTGGGAGTACAGCTACTTTAAACTCTGATAAAAACCCATTTCTTCCCATGACTTCAGTCTTTAAGCACAGAAGACATGTTTATGCAGTAACTGTAGCTTGGAAAAGATTAGACTTTAAAAGCAGCTGATGTTCCACTTGTTTTGTGGTGTCTGGGGATCTGACTGGAGCCCGAGCTCCAAAGCTTCCTGAGGACAGTTGTATGAAGGAGACTCACTATGCAGCCCATGAATACATGGTTTTGTGTACAGTGCTGCAGAAAGACCAGATGACACTGTGTACCATTATTCACTCATCATCCTGAAAAGCCAGTGTTCACGCTATAACAGTGTTTCTTTTCACAAGAGATCTAAAATCAAAATTACATTTTCAGTTTATCACAGAACCCTTTTATTGGCGTGCTAGTTCATTAATCTCTATCTTTTAACCAAACAACATTTCCCCTCTTTGTGATGAATGCATGTGGGAGAGCTTTTATTACCTTCAAAGAGCTGAGCATACTGGGGAAATCCTGCTGCCCGCAGCCAGTCACACGCCTCTTTCGCCTCAATTTCTGGAACACAAAAAATGATGTGCTTTAAGAACAGAGAAAAACAGAAGTGAAAGTCAATCACATAAGGTGAGTAAACAAAACAGCCTCTTGTTTCTTGTATGAATAGAACCAGAGGTACAACCATGTATAAACCTGAAAGAGAGTTAACTCATTTTAAGACATAAACAAACTTAAAAGGATAGAAAACTAGAGTTCAGGTTGAAATGAATCTTACTCAGAACACTGTCACTCCTTTATAGAGTCCACGCAAACAAACATTTGCTCGGAGTTTCTGATAAAGAACTAACCCCCACAGTCGGGATCGTAAAGTGGTCCTACAGCGTGAGCCGTCTGCAGGCTTCAGAGCCGCCGATGACAAGGAGAGGAAACGGACCGTTGGCACCTTTCCATTAATGCTAATAGAGCTGGGTGCTATTTACCGCCTCCGCGAGACATGATGTCTGACACAGCAGTGCTACTATTTACATTAAGAAAGGACATTTATAATTTAGTTCAATACATACATAAAAGAAACTGAATAAAGAAGAAGCCCACAAACATTATGTTTTACTTGAAACTGTCACCAGTTATGTGGAAGTTATTCTTTAAGCACCAGGAGCTGAGAGATAAAGTCACTGTTCAGTTATCAACAGAGCATTCATAGGAAGAATTTTCAGAAAAAATCGTTTAAGTAATTTTTAAAGAAAAAAACATTCAAAATGCACTAGTTCCAGCTTCAGTTCTGCTTATGTATGTAATTATTTACTGGTTTCTACAGTTTCTTTTAATTCTGTTAGTTGGATGATACAATTAGTTTTTGATATTTACTCGACGAAACAACAAATTAAATATTAGAGAAACTGACTGACGGATTAATTTATGATGAAAATAAATGTGAATTTTAAAAAAATCCTACAGAATACTCAAGCCATTATTTAAAAGGCAGTTACTCTCCAGCTACACAACTGAGAATTAGAAATCACAGTGGCTATAAAAAATAAAAAGCACATACTTCACATGGAACACTAAGATATCCTTACCAGTCCCAGTGCTTTATAAAGCAGCTGATAAATGTTCCACTGGCTCTTTTCCCAAACACACATCTGTGCTTTAGCAAGCTTTCCACAATGCAGAGAATCTCCAAATCATTGCAAGAGCGTAAACATCACATCCAAGAGAAGCTACACATGAGCTGGAGCCACGGGTGACAAATAACCGTGCCATCACACATCTGAGCTCTCAGTTCCAGTCCCCGTCTGCGCCTGACGCACTACGTCCGAAACATGAACCGCGGTCATTCATCACACAATACTGCGTAATTACGGCGACTATCCCCTCGCAATGAAGATACTGCTATCATCTGCTTTTCAAAACTGTTGAACCAGGACTCACCTGGGCTGCTTCACTTCCCTGTTCCTGAGAAATCAATGAAAAGTGACTTTGGTCTTCAGACTGACCAGCAACTGAATAAATATTAACATTTCCCTGTGTCCTTGGATGACAAAAAAAAAAAAAAAGAGTCTACTGTTTACCCCCCTTAACCAACAGTTAAGTCAACATGCGTACGCTGCCAGGAGCCGCTCTGCTCTGTTCCCACCTGTATCAGCAGGAGCTAAAGGCTTTCTGTGCAGCTAGGCTTCCCTCCCAGGTGGATAATATCGGGCCTGTATTATTCAACTGCAGCACACAGTGAGAGCGCTGCCAGGTCCTCTTGTGTCCCACAGCCGCAGGTTGGACCACTGGGAGCAAGTAACATGAGCTGGGAATTCCTCTCTGTTTGGCATTCTGTAACACGATACCGAGACATTCTGTCCTCTCATCCTCTCTCTAAGGAAATCTCTTGTGGATAAAAGGCTGGGCGGGCATCATGCCAAAGAATGAGAACTTGTGTTTGCTCTCTACAACCCGCAGCTTTTAAAACTGTGTACAGTATAAAATTACAGTTTCACAAAGAGATGAAGCCCACTTTGGCTGTGACACAATGGCCCAGAATGTCAAAAGCTGTGTACGACTAAAGTATCTGTGGCGAGGGCGACTCCTTCCCTTACAGTTCACTTCATGCAACGCTGGCTATCAAGAACACTGGTTATGCAATTTGTTGCTCAGATATAATGTGTAACAAAGTGCTGGAGGAAAAGATATGGCACACTTGGATAGTCCTTGAGCTGAGCGGTGCCAAAATTATGACAGTTTGAAAGGCTCAACCACATTCCACTCTGCACACTTCATAAAATATTTACAGACAACTGCATGAGCAAAAACTTCTGAGGATTTTAATATGCCTTGTTTTGTCCTTAGCTGCATGTCTGACAGCGAAGCTTTGTGACTAAGAATAATCCTTTTCCTTTCACACTGTTTTGAAAGACCAAAAATATAACAGATTCATTCTGTCAGGCTCCTGGTGAATAAAAACAAACCGTCATCCTCACTGGCCTTAATGCAAATCTTCTCCAAAGCCCTTGAATCAACTAACAACTGTAAGTTTCCTTCCGGTAACAAATTTGTTGTGTACTTACGGGATATTTTCATCATACAGCCAGTGTGGTTCATATATCCATCAAGACTTAAGAGTGTCTCTCAGCATGTCAGAGCATCTTCATTCCCACGCTGAGCCACATTCCTGCTCTCTCTCTGAACACAGCTTGCAGTTTGAACTCAGATCCACAGCTCCCTCTTTTCCTTTCTCTTTTCCATCTACCCCCAACCACCATGTGCCTGTCCCAACACTAAATCTCTCCCTCAACCCACCCCTTTCTGTGGCAGGCTCCCGAACGTTCACCCCCACCCCTTCCTCCCCTTCGGCTCCTTGTGCCCGACCCTCCTACCCAGCTCTGCCCACGACAACTCTTTTATACCCCACTCAGCACATTTTTGGCAAAGATCTAAGCTGCAGCCAAACAGCGAGGATTGCCTCCATATTCTGGAACCCTCTTTTATTTCAAGACGTCGCTTTTAAACATGCTAAATTTACTGCCGTTTCCTGATGTACGTCTCTGTTTTCAGTCGTTTTGCCCGTATTGCACAAGGTCAGCTTCAACAGTCCTTCGAAACTGTATCCAAGAAGTGTTAAAGCTGATGTGGGAAATGTTGAACTTAAACAAACAAAAGGGAAACATGGTTTTGAGGAGTCCAGATGTTGATCCGGCAGGTCAGTGTAATGGAAAAAACGTAGGCAGCTGAACTCGGGGAAAACCATGACACAAACTGTCAGCAATCAGCAGCAGTGAATCATCCTGAGGCACTGAGCTCACAAGACTCTGCACTAACATCATCAGAATGATATATTCGTCTGTTTCACCGCCGTCTCTACCTCTTTTTCTGATGCGAAAACAATGAATCCGACAAAGAAGAAGAAGTTAGTTTGAAAAAACAAAACAAAACATAATGAATTAATAATGAACGAGAATGTGCTCGCAAGTATCCCCTGACTGATGGTAGGAAACAAGTTCCCCCAACAAGATTAGAATGTTCATTTTTTAAGCAGAGAAAAGAAGGTAAAAGAGAAATGTTAAAAATATGTATAAGCATACACTCTCCTCAATCAAATCCAAGAGGACACAGGGACTGAATTGGCTGAGTGAATACATTAAAAACCCAATTTTATATTTTATTGAAAAGGCAAAAATCACACAATCTATGATTTATAAGGAAAATCTATTAGCTGAACGTGTGGAAAAAGACCCATTAAATTATTGCGGTTTTCCATGGCTCTGTGATTATGTAAGGATATCATATCCATCCATAATTTCCTATCATGTGAGTGGAATTCCAGATGTAGTCCGCCTCTCCTGTGCCTGCCTCACTTTGTGAAGTTCCTGCCATTTCCTCTTCTGAACTAGTGGGGCCAGGGCCGGGTGGAGAGCTCCAGGCACAGACAGAATGACGTAGAGAATCCACTTTAGTCACCTTAACAAGCCATCTACGTGTAAATGCCCTCAAGATATATCAGAAGTTTGGAAACACTTTCAAACAATCTACTCAAACATGTAAGTGCTTACTATGTAGACTCATAGAAATGTGTTTGGTCTTTCCTCCCCCGCACCGCACTGCCGCAGAATGAATCAGCCTGACAAGTCAGACTACAACTGAGTGCGGAGATCGTCTATCTGAACACCTGGAGGAAAACAGACAGAACCAGCAATATGGAAAAAAAAAAAAGAAGAAAGATTACAGTAGTAGGTGTCGTCACGCTGGGAGGCATAGAGGAGAGGCCTCTCTTCCCCTTTGTGATGCTAATTGCACACAGACACTCACTCACAGTGAGCAGTCAGCTAAGACTAGACAGACAGTCAGGGGAAACACACACTGCCCCCTCTTCTAGTCTGCCCAAAAACCACAACATCTGATGTTTCATGCCCAAAATAGCCTGACATTCTTCCTGTCTCACAGTTTACAATTGTGCATGGGGGGATCAAATAGGAAGCACAAGTAAGGATGAATGATAGCCAAAAGATGCTTGAGAAACATGATTGTGGCTACAGGAGGTGTTGGTTCAGGTTCTCTAAGGGAAACGCTGGCAATTCACAAGGTGGATTAATAGTGCAGTGCCCCATGTAATTCACCTAAAGTCGTGGGAATAAAGCCTTTCTATTTTCAAGAGTAGGTCTTAATTAACAAAGCTCTACATGTTCCTCAGACTTCAATATCCTCAGCACAATGTGCCACAAGCATCAGCCAAACAGGAGGTGCCACTGGGCAACATCACAACGCGTCCCGAGTTCATTCTCATCATCAACAAACTGGCAAGAAGGTGAAATAAAGAACAATAGTCAAATCTAAGAGATTATCTGTCTACAAAGGTGACTAACAACAAGGTGCCTTTGTTGTTCATGCAGTGATTGGCACATGAGCTAGCTGGCTCCACAGGCCGAGTAATTACAGAGAGCCAGTGTTGAATCACCCAGAGACCTTCAGCCCCCTCATTTGATCCTGTGGGGCACACAGGGGACCTGTTATCCTGCCGTCGACACGGGATGCAGGTTTAAAATGATCAGCTCGAGGCTGTGTTGCTAAGACACCAC